AAGGGCTTTTATCTCTCTGGAGAGGGTTTCTCTAATATCTTCCATGTCTTTTTTGAGTCCTGCTAGAACCTTGAGAATCACCATTCTGAACTCTATATCTGACATATTACCAATGTCCATATTGATTAGGTCCCTAGCCTTCAGTATTGCCTCTTATTCTTTTTCTTGTGGTGATTTTTTCCACCTTGTCATTTCATCTAGATAAGAAATATGAAGGACCAAATAAAATACTAAAACCATGGCAAACACCCCAGGAAACTGTTCTTTAACCAAATCAGAGGAGACCCCACATCAAAAGGGGTAAAAAGAAGTTCAGGAAAAAAAATTTAAAAAGAAAACAAACAAACAAACAAACAAAATATATATATATATATATATATATTAGACTGGTGACTAGAACAGGGTCACCCACTTAATTTTGGAAGTATTTTGGTCTCTTAGAAGAAACTACCTCCCCAAATTTTAAAGAATAAAAAACATATATAAGGGTAAACACAATGAAAGGATGGAATATGCTTATAAAGATGAAAAAATTTTTTTTCAATTTCTAAAAAAGGAGTTGATAAAGTAAGTTGGTTTGGAGAATAAGGAAAAAGAACGTGGGAAGAATTTGCTTGGGCTGAGACTAGAACAAGCCCGGAGCTAGATTTAGGGTATATTTTGATCTACTAGAATAAGTTGTACCCCAAATTTTTTAGAAGGAAAAAAACCCTATGTGTATACAAAAAATAAAGTTAGATACAATGAAGAATAAAGTAGGACTATAATAATGAAGGTTCAAAAAAGATTTTTTTTATGAAAGGTATTGTTAAGATAAACTAACTAAAAACGTTAAAAGAGGAAAGGGTAAAAGTTAAAAAAAAAATTTAGCAGAAGAAAAAAAATAAAATTAAAAAAAAATTAATTAACTGCAAGACTAAACAATCATGGGGAGAAAGCCATGAATTCCATGCTTTGCTTTCTCCTCCTCTGGAATTCCGCAATCTCCTTGGTTAGTGAACTTGGTCTTGGCTGGATTTCTTGTTGATCTTCTGGGGGAGGGGCCTGTTGTGGTGATTCTCAAGTGTCTTTGCCCAAGGCAGAATTGCACTGCCCTTACCCGGGGCCAGGCTAAATAATTCACTTGGATTAGCTTTCAGGAGCTTTTGTTCCCTAAATGCTTTCTCTAGAGTTCCAGAGGTTGGGAATGAAAATGGCGACCTCCCAATCTCCAGCCCAGAGGAGCCAAGAGCTCGGGGCCCCACTCCTCAGTGCACCCTCAGAGAAAAAGCTCAATCACTCCTGTCTCCCTGGCCTCCTGCTGTGCTCCGAGCTCACCCAGCCTGTGACCAAGCGTCTCTGTCTCTGGCATACAGCTCCACCACCTGGAGTCTCCAAACCCTGCAGATCCCTGAGCTCTTCCAGGGGGTGTCTCTCCGGATCTTGTGGGGACCCCACTCACAGAGCAGTGGCCTGTGCCACAGATTATGGTTCAAGGTAACCCCGAGTTGAGAGTTCACTCCTCAGCTCTGTCTCTGTAGCCGGCTTCCCTGCTCTAATACCTGCGAGCTCTGTGACACTCAGACACCCCCGATTCTTCTGTGACCCTGCGGGACCTGGGGCCATGCTAACCCCACCTGGGCTTCACCCAGGGTTAGCCTCTGGAGCAATGTCCCTCAGTGGAGCAGACTTGTAAAAGTCCTAATTTTGTTCTCTGTTGTTCTGCCGCTTACCGGGAGCCGGCCCCTCCCACCGTGGTCTATCTTCCCGTCGCTTTGGATTCACTTCTCTGTTGGTCCTACCTTTCAGAAAGTGGTCAATTTTCTGTTCCTAGAATTGTTGCTCTTCTTCTCTTCAATCTCCTGTTGGATTTGTAGGTGTTCGGAATGGTTTGATGAGCTATCTAGCTGATCTCCAGCTATCTGATGTTTTCTCAGCCTTCTATTTCTCTGCCATCTTGACTCCTCCTCAGTGTTTTTTTTGTGTAAATACATCTTTATCTTAGCTTCTTCTTGAAGTGTATTTTGCTACAGATTTCTGGTTCAACAGTTCTTTTATTTACTCCTGCACTTTCAAGATTTTTTTCACTCTCAGGATGCCTGGGTGTCTCAGTCAGTTAAGCATCTGCCTTCGGCTCAGGTTATGATCCCAGGGTCCTGGGGGTTCTGGGATCCTGCTCCCTTGGGCTCCCTGCTTAGTGGGGAGTCTGCTTCTCCCTCGGCCTCTGCCCCTCCCCCAACTTGTGCACTCTCTTTCTCTCAAATAAATTAAAAAAAAAAAAAAACAAGAACCAACTGGTAGTTAACTGGTAGTTTTAAAAAAGAAGACACTGAAAACACTAACTGAAGAAGATACATGAACCCCTGTGCTGATTACAACATGATTTACAATAGCCAAGATATGGAAGCAACCCAAGTGTCCACTGATAGATGAATGGATCAAGAAGGTGATGTTTATAATGGAATATTACTCAGCCATAAAAAAGAATGAACTCTTGCCATTTACAACAACATGGATGGATCTAGAGGGTATAATGTTAAGTGAAATAAGTCAGACAGATAAAGACAAATACCACATGATTTCACTCAGATGTGAAATTTAAGAAACAAATAAAGAAAGGAAAAAGAGCCAAAGAAACAACCTGGAATTTTAAATACAGAGAACAAATTGATGGTTATCAAAGGGCAAATGGGTTGAAGGATGGGTGAAATAGATAAAAGATAAAAGGAATCAAGAATGCACTTTTCTGGATGAGCACTAAGTAATGTACATGACTGTTGAATCATTACATTATACATCTGAAACTAACATAACACTGCATATGTTAATTATGCACCAACTAAAAAAGACATGGATATTTTGAAATAATGTTCACTAAAAAAATATATCATTACAATATTAAGTTAAGTTTAATATATAATAAATACTTTGAATGCCAAAGAAAATTCTGGTTATGTAATATTAAATAAAAATGTAAGACATAAGAATCATATCATGATTTCTAGAACAATGTGTGAAAATATGCTTAAAGAACAAAATATTTTCCAGAAATTAATGATTACTATCTGGGTATGATTATTATGATCATTACAAGGTTTCCTATAACCTATTTTTTAAGTGAACAGATGTCATTGATATATTAAATAGAAAATTGAAACTCTGAAACAAATGAAATAAGAAATAGTAAGTAAAGGACTTATCTTAAAGTGATGAAAACTGATGTGGAAAAAAAAAAGAACAATCAAAGGAAAAAAATGAATGATTTGACTATGTGGAAATCACTAGGCATCATGGTACACAGTTCTTAAAGAGTTTCTACCAGGGGGATGCCTGGATGGCTCAGAGGGTTAAGTATCTGTCTTTGGCTCAGGTCATGATCCCGGGGTCCTAGGATCGAGTCTTGCATCAGGCTCCCTGCTCAGTGGGGAGTCTGCTTCTTCCTCTCCCTCTCCCTTCTCCTGGTTTGTGCTCTCTCTCACTCTCGCTCTCAAATAAATAAGATCTTTTTTTAAAAATTTCTACCAGCAACTACCATAAATATGGTTCATTCATTCATCCTCTCGTTACTTGTTCATTCAACAAATACTTAACAGGTCCTAAAATGTGCTACCAACTGCCACAGGTGGTGCTACAAATAAAGTAGATAAAGCACAAAAGTGCTTTTCTCATCAAACTTATACCTGGAAGAATGTGGAGATAAACAAAATAAGTGAGCAAAGCTGGGAGGCAGCCAGCTCTATATGATGGTTGACTATCACCACCAGCACCAGCAGCAGCAGCATATGTTGTAGAGAAAAATAACATCTGAAAAGGGCTTAGAGGCACAGAGTGGTGAGATATCACTGTGACTGCAAACTTAAATATGCGACGTTATGATGCTTAATTTTATGTGTCCACTTGCCTAGACCCTGGTGCCCAATTGTTTGGTTAAGCATGAGTCTCGATGTCGCTATGAAGATATTTTTTAAATGCAATTAATATTTAAATCGTTAAAATCTGAGTGAAGCAGACAATCCCCCATAATGTGTGCAGGCTTCATTCAGTGAATGGAAGGCCTAAAGGGCAAAGACGGAGACAGAGGAGGATGGAGTTCTGCCTTCAAATTGCAACATCGTCATCATTCTGCCTGAGCTTCCAGCCTTCTGAATCAAAACTGTAACATGAACACTTCTTTTTTTTTAATGAAAAGAAAGAAAACTTTATTTTTCCAAAAACAACATGGCTATACATTTTTAGGAAAAACTACAGACAGAATCTACAACAACAAAGCTGCAAGAGTTGGTAAGTGGAGTTAGGAAGGCAGTGGGATGAAGGTCAACATACAAGAATCAACTCTATTACCAGTTATATAGAATTTGATATTGTAGGGCAACTTTGGAAAACAATACTCATTTGGAAAAGAAAAAAATTTTTAAATACCATTTATAATAGCTTCTCAAAACATAAGCTGCTTAGGGACCAAACAAACACACACACACACAAACAAACAGCAACTGACTCATAAATACAGAGAATAAACTGATGCTTGCCAGAGGGAGGAGGGGTCTGGGGCTAGGAGAAATAGGCGGAGGGGATCAAGATGTACAAACTTCCAGTTATAAAATAAATACATCACAGGTGAAAGGAAAGTTCAGCAACTGCCAGGAAGAAATCACTGTCAAGGATTTATGTACTGTCATTCTCCCATCCACAGTTAGAGAGGAAAGTGAGTGAGTCTCAGAGAGGTGGCCCAGGCTAGTACTCAACTCTATGGGGGAGAAAGCTAACTAAGGCCACAAAGATACTGATGTTTAAATATCAGTATTATTTAAATAATTACTTAATGATAATTATTAATGATGGCTTAGAGACTGTGGAAGAAACATGTACAAAATCACACTGAAATCACTAGAAACAGCAACGTAACCTGATGGCATTTGAGTAGTATCTGACCCGCTGTCATATGCTGGTGTTGAAGCTCATTTTATGCATGGAGAGAATTGCTAACAAAAAAAAAAAAAAGCCAGCTTCCAACATCAAAGTTATTTCTGCTTTGTAAATAGCACATGAACCACATGGTCTCGGATCTGTTTGGTCTTAATCCCATAAATGATGGGATTTAGCATAGGAGGAGCCAGAATGCAGACATTGGACAGTAGGACATGAATGTGGGGTGCAATGTGGTGTCCAAACCTCTGAGTAAGGGTTGTAAAGATCCCAGGCCCATAAAAAAGGACGATGACACAGACATGGGAACCACAGGTATTGAGAGCTTTGTGATGAGCATCTCCGGATGGGATGCGGAAAACAGCACGGAGAATCAGCACATATGAAATAAAAATCAACACAATATCTAAGACCACTGTTGACACTAGGACAAAAATCCCATACCAGATGTTCACTCGAATGTCATTACAGGAAGCATGGGCCAAGACAATGTGCTTACAAGCTGTGTTTGGGAGGATGTTACTTTTGCAGAAAGTCAATCTTTTCAGAAGAAATATTACAGGGAAAATTGTACCGTAACTTCTCAGACAGACAGTCACTCCAATTTTCCCAATCAGAGCAGGTGTAAGAATAGTGGTGTATCTCAGGGGGTAGCATATAGCAATGTAGCGGTCAAACGCCATCACCAGCAAGATCCCTGACTCAGAGATGAAGGTGCAGTAGATGAAGAAGAGCTGAGTGATGCAACGATCCAGGGAGATCTCCCCAGCATGGAACCAGAAGATGGCCAAGGCCTGAGGTATGGTGCACGTGGAAAGAATGAGATCTGCTCCGGCCAGCATGCAGAGGAAGAGGTACATGGGTTCCCAGAGGTTGCGACTTGTAAGGATAATGCAGATGAGCAGACTGTTCCCAAGCAGGGAGACGACATAGGAAATGAGGAAGGGGATGGAAAGCCACATGTGCTGGTCCTCTAGCCCGGGGACGCCCAGTAAGTGGAAGACCGTGTGGCTAACCCCTGTGTGGTTTAAGGCAGTCATGCCTGGAACAGACCTTCCTATTCACAAAGAGGAAAATTCAGTTTATACACAAAGATTTTCTTTGCTGTTACCAAGGGCTTTTCACATCTACTTAATGCTATTCCATTTTGAGAGTGCCAGGAACTACGATACCAACAGTAAATAAGACAGTTTGTTCAAGAATAGGGGAAAAAAGAGGGAGATACAGAGGCAACCCAAGAAACAGACACTTAATTACAGAGAACAAACTGATGGTCACCAGAGGGGAGGTGGGTGGGGGGATGTGTGAAATAGGTGATGCGGATGAAGGAGGACACTTGTTGTGATCAGCACCCACTGATGTATGGAAGTGTTGACTCACCATATTACACACTCACAACTAATAGTACACTATGTTAACTAACTAGAATTTAAATGAAAACATTTTTTAAATAAACAAAGAATTTTTAAAGATATGCTTTGTTTTCTGAACAAGGTCTTAAGCTCATAAATAAAACAGATATTTACATAACTAATAAAATTAAATTATTAAGTCAATATTAGTTATACAGGAAAATTTTAATATGGAAACACAATAGAAGTAATTCTTGTTATTCATATTTATAATGGCCTTAGGAAGGACTTCAGGGGCACCTGGGTGGCTCTGTAAGTTAGGCATCTACCTTTGGCTCAGGTCCCGATCTTGGGCTCCTCAGATAGAGCCCCATGTTGGGTTCCCTGCTCAGCGAGGAGCCTGCTTCTCCCTCTCCCTCTGACTCTCCTCCCACTCACTCACTCATGCTCTCTCTCACTGTTTCTCAAACAAATAAATAAAAACTAAAAAAAAAAAAAAGAATGATTTCTTATCTGATCTTAACCTTGAAAATAAAGTAGGATGTCTTCAAGTTAAGGGACTGTCAAGTGATGAATCAAGAGAAGTTGTCTTGGAGTTTAAAAAAAAAAATGTTTGACCTACAAATGCAAAATATGTCTAAAGCAGCTTTCAGTTCTGTGAGGTTGTGATGTTGCAAATTTGGAGCAATTGGGAAAAAAATGGCAACAAAAGTAGATTGGCTCCAAATATTATTTAAAGGGAACAGATTTCGTCAGTTACGAAAAATGGTCAGCCATAAATTGTTTTGAAATCGGAAAGCATTTTGGATATATTTATCTGACAGCCATATAGAAAAGGGAAAGGATGGAAAAAGGGAGCAAAGACTAAAATTTGATGAGGTTTGCCCTAGTGAGAGAAATTTATGTATTCATGCATTGCTATCACAGTGAAATAAGATCAAGGAACTAACCTTTTTTTTTTTTCAGTGATAATTTTTTTTTAATTTTATTTTTTATAAACATATATTTTTTTTTTCCCCAGGGGTACAGGTCTGTGAATCTCCAGGTTTACACACTTCACAGCACTCACCAGGAACTAACCTTTTTAAAGTAGCCTCTCAATTTTAGGCACTAATGTAAAAATGTTACTTACCACACACAGCATTCATTTCTTCTGCCAACACAGCCAGTAGGGACTGTCACCACTCACTTTTGAAAACAGAAATTTCAGCTTCAAGAATATTGTCACAACTTAAAGAACAGAGCTGGAAACTTTTCTAAATATCCTAGACATAATTTTCTCCTCTTTGAAATGGGTTAAGAAAAAGAGACCTTTCTAGACCACTGGAAATGACCTGGGCCAGGGGCGGGTGTGGGGGGGAGAGACGCGCAGGGAGGGTAGAGGGCAGGATGGGGGGAGGGGTGAGAGCAGTGGAACAAAGGCAGCCCACAGCAGGCAGCCATGTCCTACCTCTTCAACACAGGGTAGAGACCAGGAAAAATACTGCAAAGTCTTAATGATTACTTATTGAAACCCCACCAGTTTTGCTATTTGTTTCCTTGGTAATGTCTCTAAAAAGAAAAAGGGAAAATTCTGTGCATCCTGTATCCAAGCCAGGGGAAGGCTGAGAAGTTGAGAGATAGTTCTGTTGTCCAGTGCACTGCAGAAGAAAGAACCAGAACCTGGATAGAGGGCAAGCAGACCCAACTATAAGAACTGGTGAGGAAAACCACAAAAAGTTAACAAATGCATTGTTGTATTTACTCCATGCCTGCTCAGTGCCTAGCACATAGTAATCACACAAAATCATTCATTCCCCGGCCTTCCAGGTTTATTCCCCTCACCCTCTAAATTTAATTTCCAGACTAGGAAAATCCACTCCTATGTTCATTGCTATAGTACCCCTGAGAAATGGCCAACACTGTCCTGAAAATAAAATAGCATGAACAGAGCCCAGGAGAGGCTTGTGAGGATGGGCCTGCTGTGGAGACCACCCACCACCAGGTCCTTCTGTGGCCACACAACCACTGCAAGAATATGTAGGGACCAGAGGAAAGCCATTCTGCCAGAGAAGCTGGAAGAAATCAAAATCAATATGAAAACGCCACTGAGTCTGATGCACAAAGGAATAGCAAGCTAAAGTGATGGAGAGAAAGCAAGTCTTAAATAACTGAAACGAGAAGTGAAGAGGACCAGTTCACAGATGTTGATGGACATTGGATACCAACTTGGCAGCAGCATGCAGGAATGTTCTTTGGAGTGGAAAACTATACCTGTTACAGAGCTTGCCATTTGGGGGCTGGTCTCTGGGTGAAGTTGCATGAACTGGAATGGTTCCTCAAGGAACTCAAGGGCACCTTAAGGGCACCTTAAAAAACTCAAGTGCAGGGCACCCGGGTGGCTCAGTGGGTTAAGCCTCTGACATTGGCTTGGGTCATGATCTCACGGTCCTGGGATCGAGTCCTGCATCGGGCTCTCTGCTCAGCGGGGAGCCTGCTTCCCGCTTTCTCTCTGCCTGCCTCTCTGCCTACTTGTGATCTCTCTCTGTCAAGGAAATAAATAAAATCCTTAAAAAAAAAAAAAAAGAAAACTCAAGTGCCTCATGAAGTCTTCTGCAGCCTTAACCCAAGCATCTTCTCTCCCCTGAACAAGTGTTCTATCCCTGATTTGTGTTGTGGAGTTGCTGCCCGAACCCAGGGCCCTCTCACTATCTGCCCACTGTGTCAGTGTGCCCACAGCTTATTCTTTCCCCTCTGACTTCATGAGGAGTCTGATCATCAGACCACCTACCTCAGGGATAGTAACATATTGTCAATGTTTCCCAATCAACTGTAAACTTTCTGAGGTCTGAGAATGGTCTGTTAAGGTATGCATTCTCCCATAATCCAGCACACTGATACACCATGTGATTCCCCAGTAATGATAAACACTGAATGGGAGGCATAAACGGTGATGATAGGAGCCATGAATAAGGCCCTTCCAGAACCTAAAATGTTTACAGTAATCAGGTTCTGATGTCAGTGTGGAACCCTCTCTGGAGAGGCTCAAAGCGCCAGGCACATTGAGAGCTAAAGTATGGATGCAAGTCCAAAGTGTCCCCTCTCCCCCTCCCAGACAGCCCTTTCCACTCTACTGGGAAAGTCCATATTTGTGACTCTGGTCCAGTGGTGTGCTGGTAAGATAGTCCTTTAATAAAACTCTTTTCAAAAAGCCCTGTTTTATGTTATAGTGTCTGCCAATTCCTTAGGTGAAAATACTCCTGTGTAGTCAGTTTCACTCTATGAGCATGATGTCCCTATACACAGAGTTTGAAAGAAATGTAGCATACATATCTTAAGCACATCTCAGAAAGCCAATCGGGAAACACTGACAATATGCCACTAACCCCAGTAGGTGGTCCTTGTGAAATCAGAGGGCAAGGAATGAGCTTCAGCCCCCTACAGCTGTCAGCACTCCCATTCTACCCACTTAGCTCCCCACAAATCTTCTAATACTTTCAACCATTCTCCTTAGGCCCCATACCCCCACAATGGCCGGTTTTCCTCCTGAAATGTCACTTCACAGTAGTCACCTGCTTCAGAGGGAGTTCTCAAGGGCTAGAATGGGATGAATCGAAGGATTCTGAGCAGTAGGCAGCAGGCAGCAGAGTCTTTATGCATTTGCCTAAAGACCGCAGAGGAAGCTGACACCCAAGGGACCGCAGCTGAATGCACATGCCTCAGGTCCTGAGGGTTCCCTGGTCACACCCACACCAGATTCCATGTACACATGGACTACTTTCAAGAAATGCAATGTTAGCCTTGTTATGTAAAATAGCCCTGTTTCTGTTTCAGTGGAAAGTAGTAAACACATTAATCCCATTACCAATCAAAATATATAACCTGAAAATCAATATACAAATTATTTTTTATAAATTTTCTTTCTTAGGACAGCTTTCTATTTAAAGAAAAACTGCATAGTACACAGCTGCCATAGACCCAGTTTCCCCTGCTAGCATTTTACATTGGTGTGGCATGTTTGTTACAATTAATGAAACAATATGGATGAATTTTCATTAAGTAATATCTGTACTTTATTCAGACTCCTTTAGTTTTTACCTGCTGTCCTTTTTCTATTCCAAGAGCCCATTCAGAATACCACATGGTATTTAGTAGTAACTTCTCTTTAGGCTGCGCTAACTTTCCTTGTCATTGATGATCTTTACAAGCTTAACCAGTAGAAGTCGAGTATTTTGTAAGATGACCCTCAAATGGGATTTGCCTGATGTTCCTTTTGTGATTATGCTGAGGTTATAGGGTTTGAGGAGGAAGAAGGCAGAGGAAAGTTACAGTTTTTATCACATTGTAACAAGGGTACTTAGTATAACATGCCTCATGGCTGCTGATGTTGATTTCATTCACATGGCTGAGTTTCTTTCCCGATCCTCCACTGCAGAGTTACTCTTCGTCTCTCTTTCCAGAATGAACTCTCCAGAGGAAAGTCACTGACTGTAGCCCACGCATAGGTGGGGAGTTTTGCTCCACTTCCTTGTGGCTAGAGTAAGTATATAAGTTGTAAGAATTATTCTGCACAGGAGTTCTGTTCTCCCCCACACTGGTGTACTTATTCAATTATTTGTTGATGTTAGTATGGGAGCTTGGATATTTCTTTGGGTTATAATCCACTATTGCTTTTTTTTGCTGCCCAAATTCTTCATATTTGGCTATTG